TTGTAAACTCTACAGAGAAGTGAAACTAATTAATAAGAAACTGCTGGCCCGCTGTTCCTCCCTTTGAACTTTTATCACTGTTTTTTGCAGAAGAATTAGGAATGTGGCATTGTTACGGAGAATGCACAATTGCCATTTTAGGAGCCAATTTTTTTTTAAGAAAAAAAAAAAACCAAGTACACGAAGGAAGCTCTTGTAAAAAATGAAGCTAGGATTTAAAAAAACAGATAAAGTTCTCAGATGCGGACTCTGCTTGTATTAAATTCAGATAAATAGTTCAAATATTGTCCTAAGTGGAGGTATCTTACTTTGAGCTGTGGAAACAACAGCTAGAGATTTCCGGCATGGAGATGATGATTCAGCCTCGGCTGGCCCCCCTTCTCTTCGCAGCCAAAAAAGCTGCAAACTTCAAAGGAAAAGCTCTTACCAGCTGGATCTTCTCTCCCCCTCTTCTTTGCCTGAAGAGTGAGGTATCTGCCAGATGTCTAGGCAGATAACGCGACCAGGAACCTGGGAGCAGCTCTATTAAGCTGCCACCATCAGCAAGATCCCGCCCAGGAAGTCGGAATAATCATGATTTTCCACATCAATGCATAAGTGAAAGTAAAGTATCTTGAGTTATTTTCTAATTCTGATGGCTTTGTGGCCATGTCCATATAGTGATCTTGGGAACAATATGGAAGTATTTGCCATTTTATTTTCTGAGATAATTTTGGAATTCTCAGACAACTCTAGGGTTTTCTGGTGGTCTCTCAGTCATGCACAAACCAAGTCTGAGCTTTCCTATCTTCTTTCAAGTTCAGGCAATATGCTAGTACCTGAACTGGACTTACAGTATCACCAACATCAGATTGAAGTACTCTTTACAGCTGGAATTTGAGACTCTTTTCTCATCTTCATGAAAAGCCACATAGTCATTACAGTTGCTGGAGTCAGTGTCAAAAATATGTGGGGCCAGCCCCCTTTCCCTCCACTCTTCCTTACTATTAGGTTTCTGTGAGATGAAAATCACTGGCAGTCTATTGTTGTATTGTATTATAAAACACAAATAGTACATCATTTTGCTTGTGTGCAGAGATATTTATATAGTATTGACTGCAGACTATTAACATTCTGAAGATTTAGATAACTTATGCTTATTTTTTTCTTTATCTTTATTTTTATCTTTAAAGGCTCTTTGCAATTAAGCCTGGGGCCCTGATTACCTACCACTTATTTCAGTTTTTCTGCTTCCCTTCTTATTCAAGTAAATATTTTATTTGCTATAAAATATTCATGATAGAATACATGCATGTGTTTAATAAAAGCATGGATGTTAATGTGGGTGAAAAATCTTTCCAAGAATCTTTGGCTTATGGCAATTCTTATTCTGATGTCCTTTTCAGGGAGTTTCCCTCAAGATGATTTCCCTGAAGATGTCTCTACAGATGAGGATGATGATACCTTCAGCAGGAGGAAATTGAAAAGAAAATCTGGCAAAATGTTAGATAAAGCTCAGTTGGGGGAAAAAGGTAGGGGGGAAAATCTGTTTTTTTTCCCCTGATAACACTAAACATTTATTTTTAATTACAGTTTGTTGAATCAACCATAAAGGTCTGGTTTGTACATACCCTGTTTCCCTGAAAATAAGCCCTAGCCTGATTATAAATCCTACCCTAAAATAATCCTGGGAGATGGGCGTGGCCTGCACAAGAGGCGACGAGCGCATAGGGGCAGCAGGGGTAGTCTGCCATCCCCTTGTTGAAGTGCAGATAAGTCTGAGGATGGAGGCAAAGGCAGGGGAAGATAGGCGAGCCAGAGGTACTACGTGGCTGCCAGGCTCGCAAGAGGCTTGCGCGGTGGACCCCGGCAGCAGGGGGAGGAAGGTGATGTTGATGCCCCGCTGATAGACGAGGGCAAGCTGAGAGATGGTGGGACGGAGTGGGTGGCTCATTGGATTTGCCTGCCCTTCTGCCCCCCCCCCCCCCCCCCCCCCCCCTCCAGCTCTGCTGGGCACTTTTCACGCAGAGGGAGATGAAACTGCTTGCAAATGGGGCACTTTGAAATGGAGCTAATTGCTAATCACTCCGTTTCAAAGCATCCCATTTGCAAGGAGATGAAGCTTCATTTCCCTCTGGGTGAAAAGCACCCCATAGGTGCCCAAACACTTTTCGCCTGGATGAAGAAATGACAGAGGCTCAAAGCTTAGCGATTAGCTCCGTTTCAAAGCGCTCCATTTGCAAGCAGATGAAGCTTCGTCTCCCTCTGGTGAAAAGTGCGGTGGAGGCAGAGGAGGGGAGGCAGGCAATCCCAACATGCTTTGCTCTGTTTCAAAGCATCCCATTTGCAAGCAGATGAAGCTTTGAGTCTTCACCATTTCTCCATCCGAGCAAAAAGTGTGTCATATCTGGAAGCCATTGCAACTACAGGCATGAAGGAAGGAGCGGGCAGGTGGGTGCAAAATAAGATCTGAAGGGTCTTTTAGGAAAACACGGTAACACTAAGGCAGATCACTGGGTTTGCCAACTACAATAAATCAAAAATGAATCATATTATAATTCAACATAATGCCTAAAACAGACTGTTTCATATAATCTGCTAATTTAGGCTGCTGGTATAATTATTTTCATGGAAGGGAATGCTATTGAACTAAGTAGGATTTAGTAACAGGCAGTAATAACTATTGTCAATAATAATATTTTGTGTTAAATTTAACTGAGTGCCCTCAGAGGACAGCAGAAATGGTTTTGCTATTTGACTGTAAGTATTGACTGAAAACCACAGAGCTGTGTGGATAGGGCTGCAGCTTTTCCATAAGTATAAAGAGTTCAGATGTGAAAGTAATTCATTATAAATAATGAATTAATGATGGATGATCATAATCATCCACAACTGCCAAGATCCTTGCTAATACAACATTCTACTTATTAAAAGCATAACATTTGCCATGGAGGGTTCAAACGTTCTCTTTCTCATCTTTTCCCCAAATGTTTAAACAAACTATTTGAAAATACTTAAGTGAGAATTAATGACAGGATTAATCATGGCTTTTATAATCAGATATATTTTTCTCTTTATTTAAAAGTAGAATTGTCTTACCAACCTGTCACGAGAAATGCTATTCAACTTAATATCATTTAATTTTTCTTGACAGACAACAGTCAAATGCAAAAGAATGATAGTGAGGAAGAAGAGGCCAACACAGGACTACAAAAGAAGAGGAAGAAAAGAAAGAGAAAATCCAGTCAGAAAGCTGGTACTTCCATGCCCTCTAGAAATAATGACAATAGACAAGTCAGTGTTGAATCCAAGACACCAGATCCAGCCAACGAATCCTCAAATATCAGGAAGCGGCAGAAGTCTTCAAGTACAGAGAACAATGAAGTTGCTTCAGTGATTCTCATTGAACGACTTGGTGATGATTCTTCCTTGAAGTCACTTACATGTTTAGCCAATGGCATAAAGAAGCCTTCTCCACACAAAAATGAGAGCCTGCCAAAAGTTCCTATAAAAATCGTGTGTCAGAATGGACAGAATTATGACAGTGAAGAGGACCCTAGTTATTATACTACAGGAGGCCATACTGGTAAAATTATGAAGAGGCAGCAGAAATCAAAGCCAGGAATCACTGGAAAGCTTTTATCTGAAGAGAGTGTTAATAGAGAGAAAAAATCCCTTGTAGAGTCAGAACCTGTTGTGCTCCAGAAAGTCAAGTTGAAGAGAAAAAAAATGTTGGGGAATTTGGGAAGGATTATATGCTCCAAACGGAAAACAATTGGCTTGAAAATGCAAAGAAAAAGCAAGAAAGCCCCAAATTCCACAGAAAGAAATGAACTTGAAAACAAGAAGAGGAAGAAAGAAGTAGGTGGATATACTCTCATGAATTTTTCAAACTAAATCATTTTCTAAATTTCTTAATCCATTTTTCTGAAATGGAAAAGAGAACATGCTTACTCTATTGCAGTTGGTTAGTGATAAAACAGCATCAAGAGCTGAGGTGGCACAGTGGTTAGATTGTAGTACTGCAGGCTACTTTTGTTGCCTGCTGGTTGCCTGCAATTTGGCAGTTCAAATCTCACCAGGTTAACTCAGCCTTCCATCCTTCCAAGGTATTTTCAAAATATTTATCTTGTATTCTTTAACTTCCCTATGCATGATATTTCTTAGGTCTGGTTCCCATGGAAAGACATTCAGGTATCTTTGGCAGATTTATAAGTCTCTCGACTTGGATTTAATGTGGCTGTACAAAAACAAAGTGTGGGTGGAGGGATGGAAGAATTCTTAATAGATGAACATATTATGTGCTATTTGTATTATTGACTATGTTATGTATACTTTGTGTTCTTTTTCTTCTTTCAGGAAACTGGTAGTATTGCCCTTCCAATAAAGAAAACAAAGGCCAAGGTGGAAAATGATTTTGTAAAGTTTGAAAAGACAACTTTACCAAAGCCAGCCTTCTTTAGAAAAGCTAAAAGAGGCATTACCGCCATGCCGGTATGATAACCTTTCTATAGTTTATATCTTGAGAATGTTTAGAATAATAGTTTGAGTCCCAATTGAAACAATGACTTTTTCAAGATAGGATAGTGATGAATCACTGTGTAGGAGACCTTGTTCTAGATTGCTTGTTTAGTCTCAATTCTGAGACTAAATATGCAATTCTACAAACTTCCTGCTTTTAGAATGGCTTTTGAAATCTTACCTGTGGGCCATCTGGCCACTTGCAGGACATTGGCAAATTGGATGATGGTGTATGTTGGCTGATGCTTTCTAACTATTATGATTTGGTTCAATATTCTAATAAGGATATTGAAAAATTCTTTAAGCAATAAAGATTTAATTGGCCCAGAAAAACAACAATATTTCTCTTTTAGTTAAGCAAGCTACAATCTTCCAGCTCCAAAAAGGTTACCTTTGGATTGAATAAGAATATGACTGCTGGTAAGACATTTTCTTTCTTGCTTGAAAGGCCTGTGTTATTATATCATTTGTGTGATTAACTAAATGCAAAAAGTTTTTTTGCTGATCAAAGACTTATGTTCATTTGAATTATTCATAAACATTGAGGTTGTTAAAATGGCAGTAATGCATGTATTTTGCTAGAAGCTTAAAAGTTTATTTTGCTCTTCTGAGATCCCCATCTATTTTCAAGTAACGTGTGAAAAATAAATTGGTTTAAATTATTTAAACATTAAACCATGTCTGCATTCTGAAGGTCTTTTGCTTATTAAAAAAGCATCTATTAGAAGGATGTAGTTTTTCTCCCTTCACTTACACATAAGTACTTTACATGGTTAGTAACAGGGTAACACAAGACATGCTTTTCTTTCTAATATTTTGCTTTACAGAATTTAAGAAGACAGACAAAAGTATCTTAGTCAGTCCACAGGGAATCTCCCGGGTGGCTTTCAATCCTAAGCAAAAACCACCCCATGGGGTCCTGAAGTCTTCCTCTAGCTCTTTGATGGAAATCCCTCAAATAAAGAAGTCTCTTATAACTCCAGCTAAGAAGAGACCAACTGCTATGGATTTCTTCTAAGGCCAGTAAATGGAAGAGAATTTCGGAAATGTTCTGATCATTTCAACATCCAGCTATTTTTGGAATAATTTTCAGAATCTTATTTTCTCAGCTAATAAGATACTATACATACAGTTTCGATTATGTGGCCTCTGGTTCTTCAAAAACACTTCTTCGGCTGCAGATTAGAAATGTTTGTATATGTTGTTAGCAATAGATATGAGATGAGATGTATATGGATATCATACATTTTCAAACATCTCAGGTTTGAAAATCAGTTTTTTTAAAAAACAAGTTATCTGATTAATATTTTTATAAAGCTTTATTTGAAGCTTCATTTATTATTTTAATCTTAAATGGTCTCTGTTGTTTTCTACCCTGTTTCATTTCCCCCCTCACGCCTTCCATCTTTCTATCTAACACTTTGGGTTAAAATAACAATATTTATTGAAAACAAGTTTTTCAAAGGGAATTTTCTTTTGCCTGAATCACTTGTTTGAATAGTATACATTAAAACTATTACTATTCAAACACACAGGCGTACTTTGCATATAGTGGTTAAGCATGTGTGATAATCTTAGCAATTTGAGAATTGCTCCTCTGTTCATAAAATGTGTGGGTTCTAATTTGATGCCCTTCAGATATGTTGTGACTAAAATTCCAAGCCAGCATGATCCATTATACTTATATGGAAGTTAATCTACTGTGTATTTTCCCCTAATAAATGCATGTTTATGCAATTTGCCTTCACAAACATATTCAATCAAGGCATTGTTCTTCCTCTATTAAAATTAACTAAATTACTGTATATTATCACTTTTACAGAAGCCTCTGTGCCTTTGATTGCAGGGTAAGGATGGTTAAGGCTATGTGAATCAAAAAGGGGATGGGGTGGGATTCACTATATCTAAAGTCCTGCTGATGTCATCAATATGCAAATAATATTTTGCTGGAATCTTTCTCCCACCTTCAGAGTTCCTGTCTTGTCAATTTGCAATACATGGAAACAGCTTTACTAACTAGATTCACCATAATTTGGGATCAAGCTGAGGAACAGAAAGGTTTGAGTTCCCACTGTTAGAACTGTGCCACCAATTATCTTCTTAGATAAATGGTAACATACTTTCTTTTTTGCTGCTAGTGGTATTGGAGTTTCAAGGATAGAATTTTTTCCCTTCCTTCTTCATCTTTACAGAATGATTCAAAAAGTTTATATACTGTGGAATAACTTCCCAGGAACCAGTGTCTTCAGTATGTAATAAGCTGATGTTACCATGCCTCTCTTCATTTTGATGTTACTATAAAATTATTTTACATCAAATAATTTTATTAAAAATATTTAATCAAAATACTATAAAAACAGCTCAGCAAACAGTTCATAAATTGGTGGTTTTTAAAAAAAGATTTGTAATAAAAATGCTACTTCTGTTTTGTATTCCAAAGAATGAATGGTTCTTCTGAGCAATCAGTTACTTTAGTATTTCTTCAGAGTGCTTATAAAGTTGTAAAGCAATTGTATTTTTTGTTTTATTTTCAGATAACTCAATTTTGTTAATATCACTGACAAGAATTTTATGTACTTGAAGTTAGGTGGTTTTGGTTGTGTCACAGTTTTAAGTAATGTAAATCAATTAAGAATTAAATACAAGATCTTTCTACCATTTATATCAGATGTTGAATATATTTCTTGACACTTTCATGAAATATAAAAGAAGAAAAATTTGTTAACACAATCTTATTGATGGATGCTAACATATAAAATCAAGATTAAGATATTGCTTTAAAACAACTCAGTTGAATGTGGAATTGGAAAGGTTGAGTCTAAATTATCTACTTATGACAAGGACATGCCTAGAATCAATTATATTCAATAAGTTATAGATTTTTTTATACAGGGTGTTGCAGGGCAAACCTCTGGGCCAGCATCAGCAGCTGCATCCATAAGCAGCTGTCTAAACATTTCATAGTTTTTCACTGACCAGAACCAGTTTGTTAAATCTAGGCACTGTTAATATTTCTAAGAAAGGTTAGTGCACAGTGGAAAAACATAGTGAATATCTAGCACATTAAGAAACGTAAGATAAGATTATCAAGAACCATGTTGTGGGGGTGGGGGGTGGAAGAGCTATAAAAAAAAGGCAGTTTTTAAATCTAGAGTTGACCATGACTAACAGGATACTGTTGGCAATTGCAGTTCCTGTAATGATTATACAATTGAAAACAAGATAAAATGCATCATCGTGCTGTCTATTAAACAGTATGCATTTTTCTGCCCAGTTTAGTTTATATACATACATTCCATTTTGCAGTAATTTTTCTGAAAGTTAACTGAAATACAAAAATATAACATTTACAGTTGTATTTAAAACTTTTAAGAGTATCTAATGGTTTCATTTTCTCTCCAACTTTGAATCACAACAATTTCTACATAAACTTTGCTTCAGAATGACATTTTTGACAGAGAATTAAAAGCAATGTTTATACATTCTGTTTGTTATGTGTTAAGATGTTTATTCTTTTTATGCAGCAATTTTAAACATACTTTCAACAAAAATATTTTATCACACGTTTTTAAAATGATAGCCAAATTCGTCCATGGGCTTTTTGATGGCTGTCTGCGTATTCTCACAAACATCCGAAGTCACTGTAATGGGTTTTTGATAAAAGAAGCTGAGATTAGAAGTTGATTTAGTTTTGTTTCTCATTGGAAAATGTTGCCATAGGAGGATGCTATTGGGCTGGCATCAGAGATGGAGTCTTAGAAAACAGCAGAAAGAATTGAGATGAGAGTTTTAATGGAGGAGATACAATGTCTGATACAACCTAGGATCTAGACACAAGCGATTTATTATTTTAGTGAAGAACAATAACACTTAGACTTATATACCGCTTCCAAGTGCTTTACAGCTCTCCTCTAAGTGGTTTACAGAGTCAACATATTGCCCCCAACAATCTGGATTCTCATTTTACCAACCTTGGAAGGATGGAAGGCTGAGTCAACCTTGAGCCTGAATTCCTGACAGTTGGCGGAATTAGCCTGCAATACTGTCTGATAATATTGTCTGGCAAATTTAAATTGGACTCAGTGATATTAGTTCTTGTTAATTCAAGGACAAATATAGAAATTACTTAACAGTGATCCAGAGGAAGACTCACTGATGACCCAAAGAGGAAGATGCCCCATGGAGCTTTTTCTTCTCAATGCAAATGATCCCTTATAAATTTAAAGTTATGGAAGATGAAGTATTCTTCCAGACCCAAGGGAGGAAGGCCAGTCTGAGGGGATGCTTCCCATTTTTTTGCCCTTCCTTATTTCTAAAATGGGCATAACTAGGGGTTAGAAATAGTTGAGTACATACAGTATCTGCTTGAGCAACATAACTTGCAAGCGTACACAGAAAACTTTTAAAACATTCTGTGGTAGAGGAAAAAAGTTCTCTGCAAAGCAGTTTAAAAAGTGGCACTGTTATTAAGTGAGCACTGTAAGTAATTAGCTAATTCTAACCTAAATTGCAGGGCTAGATTAAAGAAAACAAAACTAGCATGCCATTAACCTTGATCCATTTTCTTAAATGGAAAACTAGTAGTTGTTTCACTGGGCCAAGCCCTATAATCCCATAGGAAGACCCTGTGACAGGAAAGTTGGCATGCATCTGCAAGCTTTTTTTCATGTTTGTATTATTGATTAGCCAATTGGATCAGAAAAGCTTAACATGTGGCAAGTTGATTATCAATTCATGAAAATTGATGACAAAATTTGAGAATCCTGACATACTTTCATATATTTTTAAGAATGATTAGGACTCACATTTTGTGCTCGTTTTATAGAAAATGAGAGCTGCATACTTGACAAAATCCCACCAATAGGACTAAATGCTATTCAAATTTTGGGGTAAGCTAGGCTGTTCAGATGCTAGGGTTACCTCACTTGCTGTCTAGTTAATATGTTTAATACAGACCTGAAAGGAACCCGGTTAAGCTGGCAGAAATATATTAACATTATCAAACTATTGTTTTGTTTCTAATTTTTAAAATGCATTTGAAAAATAGTCTTATTCAGAAGATCTAATATGGATTTTTCCAAATCAAAGTACCTAGAAATTTTTAACTATATGTTGTTTCCTTACTTGACGAAGGAAAATACCTATTCAATTCAAATAAGCTTTGAATAAACTGTATAGGATTATACTGCAGGTTACTTCTGCTGACTGCCAGTTGCCAGCACTTTGGCAGTGCGAGTCTCACCAGCTCAAGGTTGACTCAACCTTCCATCCTTTCGAGGTTGGTAAAATGAAGCTCCAGCTTGTTGGGTTAAATATGCTAACTCTAAACTGCTTAGAGAGGGCTGTAAGGCACTGTGAAGCAGTATATAAGTAAGTGCTGTTGCTATAATTAGTGCAGAATGCAGTGGCACAGGCGGTACTTGGGGCTCCTCAGGTGACCCATACTACACTGCTCTTCCACAAGCTGAACTAGCTCCTAGTTTGTTTCCAGGTACTTGAATAGTGGTTATCACTTTTAAAACCATCTCACCCCAGGTTTGGCTCACACACCCATGCCAGTAGAAGGGGCATGCTGCGGACGTCGTCAATCAAGGAAATTTGGCTTGCTAGGTCCAGCAGAAGAGCCTTTTCTGCCATGGCTCCTGCCCTTTGGAACATCATGCCTCCTGAGGTGAGATTCACATCCATCCTAACATTCCATAAGGGTCTGAAGACCTGGTTCTTCCAGTTGGATATATCATGCTGCTGGTGGCTGATGATTAAGACAAGACCCCACCTTCCCCTAAGTGCATTTTGCTCCCTTCTTCCCCATCATTTAATTGTAAATTTTTGTTATTAAGATTATTTATTGCTTCAATGTTTTATTGGCTTTTAATATTTGTAAGCTGCCCAGAACAGTTCATTGACAAATGCACGCTCGACAAAAGCGTGCCGCCGAAACCGCGGTGAGAAAACTGTGAGGTCAAAATCGCGCCGATGAATGCGCGCAGAAGCGCGCCGACAAAAGCACACCTTCAACAAACAACTAATAACAACCTAATAACCCTAAACCTAACCCTGAACCTAACCTTAACTTAAATCGTGCTTTTGTGGGCGCAGTTTTGTCAGCGTGTTGTGGCCGCGTTTATAACGTCGTTCTCTCGCCGCGGTTTCAGTGGCACACTATTGTCGTGCGCGCATTTGTCGGGTCACGGCCCAGAACCACTTCTTAATCAGATGGTCAGCAAACAAATCAAATAAATAAATAAAATCTGAAAATAACCAGGCAACAGTTCTTGGCAACAGAATTTTAGTTAATCTAATCAAATTCCTTAAGAAAAAGTATATTTTAAAAAGAGTGAAAAAGAATTTGTGCACTCCAGTTCAATGAAGGTGGTACAATGCTAAGTAGTTAACAAAAATGCCAGAAACATACAATCCCTAATTTGACTTCCTAACAGAAATATTTGTGTAGGAATGTCTATGCACATGCAAGCAAATACAGGGAACCAAATGAAAGGAACTGAATTGTGGCAATTATGAAGAACAGGATTTTGCAGGATAAAAAGAAGAATTGAAGCTTGAGAATGATAGAAACATTATCATTTAATATATATTTACTTTGAGCTTAATCTTTAAGACAAGATGAACAGTATGAAAAGGTGCTTAATTGCTTTCCATTGGCCATTGTGAACAGATTGTTGGGAATATTCTAACACTCTAAACTGCTTAGAGCTGTAAAAGCACTATGAAGCAATATATAAGTCTTAAGTGCTAAGAATGCAGGAATATGGGAACCTATGGCTTACATTTCAAAGGGAAAATGCGGAATTTGAAATGCTATCTTGCCAGAAATTAGACTTAGGTTGGTACTTTAGAAAAAAAAAGAAAATTATTCAATTACTTATTCTACTATCAGAAAAGATAAAAGTTATCAATATCCAAAATTAATTTTAAAATGTATTATTATAAAGGAAGCACAGTACTTCAGCTTACAACTACTACTGTAAAACCTAGTGTAAAAAAATTATTTTTTTCCAGATCCACAGTTTTAAATCATGTAATAGTCTGCTCTCAGGAAACTATCTGTTATCCAGTAGAGTGTGTAGAGGAAACATTAACAAAAGGAAAAAGGCAAAGCAAACAGATTACATACAAGCAATAGCAGGATGGACAATCTTGAAATATCTTGAAGCAAACTGAATTGATAATTTAGCACAATCATTATATTATTCAAAACCATTTCTGATCTACTCAAGATAAATGTCTATTCAGTGTACAGAATCCTCAGAAAACCAACATGCACATATTTATGTAATTTATTAATTACATGAAAATTAGTTTAATATGTATAGTGGATAAATATAGTCTGCTCTTGTTTCTAGCAAAGTGCCTTTCTTTCTTTCTGCAGAAGTGCCCATTATCATTATCCCTTTTTTATAGAATAGAAATGCACTTTATTAACGCTTTGAAGTACTTCGGTTGTTTCGCTTGGAATATTTCCCTAACAAAGGTAGAAAAACGACATTTGATAAAATTCACAGAATATGCTCCATTAATTTAGAACTCTGATTATTGTTAGTTTAACTGTTATTTTAGTTGCTTTGGATATTCCACATTTAATTTTACTTGTACACACTTAAACAGAAATATAAAACTTGTCTTAATTTTAGCTCTATCATACCACAAAATAATGATGCCATCAAAACCTCAGGTCATGATCTACCTTAAAAAGTTTCTTGGCAACATCCATCCAGATCAAACAACAAGCAGCAAAATATAATTTCAAATTTGGTAAACCCAATCCTCCTTAACATGTACTTTTTAATTTTGTTTTGGGCCTTAACATAATCATTTTGAACTAACATACAATTCATATTTGTCATAATGATACCCAAGTATTTTATTTTTTTTTCCATTTTAAAACCAGTTTTCTTCATCACTTCTATTTGATTTTCTAATTTCATATTTTTACTAATATTTTTGTCTTAACTATTAACTTTTTAAAAACATACCAACATCCCTTGATTTTTTGTAATTCTTCTAAAATTTAATAAAATCATCCACAAATGCTTTATAATTCAGAGTTAGAGTTTGGAAAAGTCAATACTTGTGGCGCCCAATGTGCAATTCTCTTTAGTCTTGTAATATTTGTTTGATCTCATCTATTATTGTCACTCCCATTTGCATTTCTTCCAGTTCATCTTTAAATTTCTCCAAAAACTTTCTTGCTTTCTCCAGAATTAAATTGGAATTTCTGTTGTTTAACGATAAAAATCACCTCTTCCAACTTATCCTGTCTAGATGAAATTTCCAATGCTCCCTGCCAGCTTCCCACAAGCAGAGTAATGGGAAGCCACTAGAAATAAATCACTCTCATTCCCACTGCTTTTTTGTCATCCTTTAATCATTCTGATTATCTATTTAGGTAAATAAACATTGACTTATTACTGAAGTTAATTTGCCACTATGGTTATTTTTCTATTTATGATAATATAGTCTTCTTAGGTGATCATGGGACTGCCCAACGGATTGTCTAATTTACATTTAAAATCTGCAGATATTTTCTGAAGACCCATATTTTCACGAAAACTTAAAACATGCTTCTGGGGATGATTTGTAGATTCAATAAAATGTATATTCCCTAGTACATTTTGTTCATTGTACTTCATTTATAGTCTGCTTTTCTGTTTTAAATGGCCAATACTTGCTTTAAGTGGTGTGACTAGAGTTCTCCTTTTTCCTCTTTCTTTGACTTTAACTTTGCTTAATATATTCCAAGAGCAACAAAATGAACTGTAGCCAAAGTAATAATTGAGATAATCTTGCCTTGTTGCTTGATTTCAGCAGAACAAGGTGAACAATGCCAAACAATATAATCTGCTCTTAAAGCACATTTTGTGCCCATTTTTTCAGTGCCTGAAACAAAGCCAAAAATACTGAGTTTAAGCATAATAAATGAGTTACACAGAGAAAAAGAAAACCACAAAAATAAGTTCTTACAGAGGTCATACTAAATTATAGAACACAGAAAACAAAATATTGGTTTCATAAACTGCTTTTTATTTATATATTTATCGTATGAAGTCATAAAATAGTTTTGATAAAATTGATTACAATTTGTACATACTTTTACAAAGCTGACCCATCCAAGAAAGTCACAAATCAAATGTGGATTAAATCATAAGGGCTGGATGCAGATTTAATATTAAGGTATTTATAGCTTAATAAGGTAAACCTCTGAAATGAGCGGTGTGATAGCCTAGAGGTAAAGACAGTCACGTCCTATTTGAAAGATTCAGAGTTCAATCCTAGACAGTAGCAGATGTTTCTCTATCGGCATAAAGAGAAAATATCTGCTGCCAACTCTGCTTAGGTGTCAGGAAGGGCATCCAGACAGTAAATGTCAGCCGGACTCACCCTGAAAGGGATTAAAGGGCTGTAAAAAGGGGGAAAAAGTAGACCTCTGATGTGCAAGTTAATTTGTTCAAGTTCCAGTTTATTTTAATGAGTTGAATATAAGTAAATCAATCCATAGTAATTCACTTTCTATAAAATCAGTGCAGCTATTTCATCTTTTCTCCCTTAATGATGGAAGTGGAGACAAAAAAACAAGGCTATATTTGGAGGATGAATATATGAGCTTTTTGTGAATGAAGTTGATTACACATTCCAACCAGTTACCTGCCTTTTTTCCCCAGGAATGGCTATTTACACACTATTTTTCTCCAAATCCTCTTTGTATTCTATGCTCAGTCCCCTCCTTCACTCCTGTTTTGTTTTCCCTAAATATTTGTGGAGCTTTGCAAATGTGCCAGGTATTTCTCAGAGATCTCATGGGCCCTCAAATCAATTCAGTTGGTTTCTATTTTACAACCTTATGATCAGTTTTACATTCTTCTAATCTAGTGATGCTCACTGCACCTTGTGACCATTAATCCCATAATTTATTTGTATAAGGATCGTCTATTAGTTCTTTGGCTTCAATGGATTTACTGTGGCCATACCAAGAGTTTGCTAATTCTGTCTGTGCTTCCAAACGAACAGAACCTTCATATCCTATGTTGCTATCAAAACTCAATACATACATGAGAGAAAACGGTAACATATACCCATATTCCAATCAGAAACTTTGATTATTTGATTCAGACACAATCTGAATGGACCACCCTGCTAATATTTTTCTATGATCAGAATGCCTCAGATAACTAGGATTGTCAAATCAGGGCTACAAAAGTCCAGACCACCCCTTGCTGGCAGCAGAAAAATAGAGCTGCATCCAAAGCCTTGACAGATGGGGGTGGGATATAATCTTGGGCAAAGCCCTGCCCGAAAGACACAGCAACCTGCTGTTTCTTTAAAATGTGTCACAAGACGCTTTTCAAATGTGGCTTCTCTGGAATCCCCCGCGTTCAGCGTCCTCCACGAGCAGCATTGGGAGCTCCAGTACTGCCGTGACCTGGGAAGGTGAGGGCGGACAGGAAGCTCTGCACGGGGGCGTTTCAGTGTGATCTTTCTGTTTTTCCCAAGTGGGACGTGGGCACCCGCAGCGCCGCCTCTGCCGTAGATGCCGCACGTCGGCAGCTGACTGCTCACGTTGGCGGCAGCAGCAAAACGCCGGGGGGGGGGGCAACCGCCGTTCCTGCCCTCCCCTCCGCCTCCTCCCTCTCCTCGCGTGTCCTCCGAGGCAGCCTCCTTCTTGCTCGAGCCGCTCCCTCCCGCTGCAGGGCGGAGTGTGAGGGTGCCTTTAAATTGAGTGCGAGGGAGCTGCTGCCTGCTCAGTCTCATCTGTGATGTAAGGAGAGATTTTAGGTGTCTAAACCGATCGCCTGACTTCGCCTGTCATTTTCTGCCGGGCACCCTTTCTCTCTGCCACTCCGCCGCTGGGTAGATGTGCCCTTAAACCACTTCCGCCGCCGAGCAGCAGTTGGCCCGGACCTCGTCTCTGTCCCTCTGCCCAGCTTGACCTGCTGGTGCGCGCTCCGCTCCTTGCTCTCCCGGGTACGCAGGCATGGAAGAGGAGGAGGAGTGCAGGGTGCTCTCCATCCAGAGCCATGTCGTCCGGGGCTACGTGGGCAACAAGGCGGCGACTTTCCCCCTACAGGTAGGTGGAAGAGCTGAGCCGGCTAATTACGCGCGCCCGAAGCTTCCACCGAGTCGTCGCGAGCGGTCTCGCGTCTGCAGCGCTGGGCAAGCCTGGAGGAGCGCGGAGTGCGCCTTCTGCCGACGCACGTGCCGGGCTGTGACGCCGTCAAGGGTTCTGCCCGCTGTTGCCCTCAAGAACTCGCCTCTCGCTATTCAAAGGGAGCTGCCAAGTTTATACGTGCAGATGCACACTTCTCTCTAAGACAAGGCTTTGATGGGATGACTTGAGAAGCCCTTGATGGCTCAGATGATTGCATCAGGCCTCGGGTCTCTGCAAGGAGGTGTCCAAAAGCCTTTCGCACCTGGTTTTATTGTATAGTAACGCCGCTTGTTTTTGTAGCGGTTGCCTTCCGAGGCTTTTTTTTTAATGCCAACATCGCCTTTATCCCAAGGCAATATTGGCGAGCGTTGTTCAAAGGAGCGTGATAGAATAAGAAGAGAAAAAGAAGTGGGCCTCTATTTATTGTAGGGAGGGTTAGAAATTGCCCGTGGTGGACTTAACTTGTGATTCCTTTATATTTAATGGAGAGGTAGAAAGAAAAAATGGGAAATGTATTAATTAGGGCACCTTAAAAACTTGCCAGGATATGTAATCAAATTCTAGGGAATGTAATGAGTGATATTTTGAAGACTTCCTCTTTTTAAAATTAATATATTTTATAATTTTATGTCATTCTATTTTATTCAGTATCATCAAGTTTAGTTTGTTCTTTTTTCAAGGTTAGGCTCTTTGATGGCATCATCTTAAAATGCTTTTAACAAGAAAACAGGTAGTATATGTTCACTTTCTGGTGTTTTAGATTATTTTAATATCTCTTGAACATTGACTATTCTAGCTGTGTCTTATGGGAGTTGTAATCCAAAGAACCTGAAAAACATCTGTTTGCTTCTCTGATCTAATCTGTTTATTATGCACAATAAATTGTACCCCTTTCTGCATTGCAAATGAAACTAACTGATCTTTTCTACAGAAGAAAATAAACAGGACACAAATCTAACTTCACAAATGGATATATTCAAGCATTAGTTTTTTAGAAAGGCCTTTTACTTTCCATGATACTCTGCCATTATCAAGGCAGTTATTTATGAGCAGCATTTTTATTAACATGTACTGCTTTCATTTTGAAATACAGTACCATTCATGAAGCAATTTAGCTTTTATCTCCTGAAACTCATATAAAAAAACCCCTTCAACATGCATGTGATTTTACTTTGTTTAATCAGCTCACTATTACAAGGAGTTGTTCCATGAATCATGACAATTAATTAGATAAGTTATCAGAAAGCATTGTACATTTCATTTTCTATTTTCACCTTCTTGAGTTCTATCCTTTACCCAAGTTGGGGGGGAGGTGGTTTGGTTTAAGGTTTAAGGTTTTAATGGATTTCTATGCCGCCCAATCCCGAAGGACTCCGGGCGGCTTACATAAAAACAATTTTAAAAATATTAAAAGAATTTAAAATACAAGACAAAGTGAATTAAAAGAACACAACATACACTCAATCTTAGTGGGGCTGGAGCTCAATCAAGATCAGCAGCCCCAGGCCTGCCGGAACAACAAGGTCTTAATAGACGTTCGGAAGGCCGAGAGAGTGGGGAGGGTCCAGATCTCAGGGGGTAGATCGTTCCATAGGGCCGGGGCAGCTACAGAGAAGGCTTTCCCCCGAAGAGCCACCAGACGACATTGTGTAGTTGACGGCACCCGGCGAGAAGGCCCATCCTGTGAGATCTTATTGGGCACTGGGAGGTATGTCGCAGGAGGTGGTCACGGAGATATCCAGGTCCTAACCCATGTAGGGCTTTAAAGGTGATAACCAGCACCTTGAAGTGCGTTCGGAGACCAATAGGGAGCCAGTGCAGCTCACGGAGGATAGGTGTAATATGGGTGTATCTAGGTACACCCAGTATCGCTTGCGCGGCTGCATTCTGGACCAATTGTAGTCTCCGAACACTTTTGACTCAAATTAATGTTTTAATTTCTAGTAGCTAAAATCCAGAAAAGTTAGTACCAAGTAAATATGTTCACCTTTAAGATGCCATGACATCTTTAGTTTTTGTTGCAACAGACTCTCTGGAAAATGTAGATATGCTAGAAAAAACTATTTCCCAATTAAAGCACTGTGGGTTGTTTTTTATGCAACTAAATTAATCATTGTTGCAACTTAAACATTGATTTCTGTTCATGAAATTGGATTTAAAATACATATTGCACAGCACATGGACAGATTTAGCCATAGTTTTACCTGGGAAACTGAAAATTCTAGACCAAACTAAGTCCAAAAATGCTACAGAGTTTCTGGAAGCCTGGCACTCAGAGAAATAAACCATCAACAGTCATAAACCAATAAACAACATTTAGACATAATTCAAAACCAAGATAAGCAGGGTTTAACACTAGGATTAATACCAGACCAGTACATAATACCCCAATACAGGAACTACCAACCCAGTTATTTACTCAAACAGTAAACAATAATCGAATCAAGGAACTATCAAGAAGAAAATACTCTCATCAATAACAATAGGGCAAGCCATTATGTATAAACACAGAGCAAACCCCAATCCCTTCTAGCACTGAAGATGTTACCTAGTTGGGTAATGAAACGTCAGCAAGAAAACAACCAAGTTCAGAGAATACCAAGGATTCACACATATATTTTGTATACTTTTGAGGGGAAATTGATTTGCAATATGATTTCATATTTAAATTTGAATTACATTTCTTGAAATATGTGGAAGAGAGTTTTTATGTGACACAGGGATACCAAAGAATTGGAAAAGAATATCCATTGTTTGTTACATCTAGTCAAATTATTGTCTGTATTACATAAAATTGATAACTGCAAAAGATAAATAGCTAACTTGATCCCCAAATACTTCTTCCCAAAATTATTTGCTCAGCAGCAGACACAAATCAGCAGGAACATCATGCATACTATAGGGCCTTCATGGCTAGATGTTTTTTAGTTATAACCTACCTCTGTGCCAGATATTTCATACTATAATTTTATATCTTTTATTTAAATCTCTATTTTCCAGTATATGAAACCAATTTTAAAAACTGAAAATTTTTAAAACATATACAATAAAGGACTTAGCAAGCACTATTTTACTTGAAAAACTTATGCATGCAGTGTGCAGTAATCATGGACTTATTACAATCACATCAATAAAAGGAAAGCAATAAAAGGAATAGTATTACTACAAATTGCAATCAGAAAATAGTAATATATTTTAAATATGTATGTTTTCCTTGATTTTCATCATATTTATATATTTACCTTCTTATATCCCTTGAATTACTTTTGACATTGTCATGGAAAACATCACTTGGTTTCTAAACTATCACATAGCATTTCCTCATTTTTGCAATTATAAATTATCTATAAATTTAATCTGCACTAGTAATTCAATGAAATTTTACCAAAAAAGTTTCTGTGGGGAAGATTATTGCAATTCAGGCAGGAGATTAACTTTACCAAGTTAAAGTAACTTGATCTTAGAGTTCTGTGACTAACATAATAATTTAGTGGTTTTCAACTTTTTCTTCACCATGGACCCCCTTTAAATATCTTTTGTGGCCATGACCATGGCTATGGACTCCCAAGACTTAACTCAAGATTTAAATCATAACATTTCTTCAAAACTTTGTGGACTACCAGTGATCAAATTTCCGCCCCCCCCCCCGGATCTAGGGACCACAGGTTGAGAATTATTGTAATAATTGATTTTGTTGGGGAGGAAATGTTCCAAATTATAATTAGAAGAAAAATAAAAAGTAAAATTGATATTCTTCACTTTTTAAAGTTTACATATTTTAAAATGTAGAAAAATATTCGGATAATAAAATGTAAAAACAGGAGTGTCAAACTCAAGGCCCAAGGGCCGGATCTGCCCCGGGGAATGCTTAGATCTGGCCCGGGGGCCCGCCGTAGAAACAGCAAAGAACTGGCCTGTGGTGCATCTGCCAGCTAAAATGGAGCTCATGCGGGCCACAGGGAGCCCTCCTGAGTTCTATTTTCACTGGCAGAGGGTTGCAGGAGGTTGTTTCAGCCAAAAACAGAGCTTGGGAGCCCGTTTTCTCTGGCAGAGCGCTCAGGTCACCACAGGCGCCCCAAACACGAATGATGTTGAGCTGGCCACATCCACCCTGGCCAGGCCCACCCCATCCCTCTGAGGTCAAACACAACCTTGATACACCCCTCAATGAAATCAAGTTTGACACCCCTGATATAGAATGTTTTAAAATTATCCAAGATTAAATGTCCTAAAAATGTAGTAGCCTAAAATGTGACTGTTGACTAGCAACAATACATAAATGTCTGACTTACTATCTTATGTTCCTATGTACTAGTTGTCAGGGGAAAGCCTAGAAAACAATTCCTGTTCTGCCATTTTAGTAAGCTTTGGTAGCGTTTTATGGTAGAAAAATAACAATATAACTATTATAGCAAAATAACAACTAGTATGGCATGAAAACTGTATTTCTGGTAAAACTGCAGGAAGCAAAATAGTATTTGGATTGTGATAAATAGTTTATCTGGTTTGTTGACATTTTCCTGCCCTGCCCCATCTCCTCCTTTGCTGTTACCTAAGCATGGGCAGATTAGCCTACTAAGCTTTGAAGTATATGTCTGCCGGACAGAAGATATTCCATATTCCTCTCTGGTTTTCAATACTAGTCACTGGAGTATTAGAAAGCAGTATGTAATAATCTATGCCATTATGCTGCCTTTTACAAAGCAATTTTGTAGAAATATAAGAAACCAATGTTTTCTACTGCAGACATAAACACATAATTCTACTGTCTATAGAATAGTACAAGTAATGCTCAGTCAGTGACTGCCATGTTTAGTGGCAGTTTGCCTTTACAATGGTGATGAAAAAGTAACTTTTATGACCAGTCTTCACATTTACGACCTTTGCAAATCTGTAAAGTAAAGGAAAGCTGTACTAAG